ATGTTGTTCTGTCTTTCATTTTCACTCATATATTTAAGAGAAAGAAAGCTCTCAGTCTGTAACATTTATTTTTGGTGTGACGAACAGTATGATGGGGCGTTGTACTGCTTTGTTTGTTTGTTCATTTTTGGGTTTTTATTTGTATTGTTGTTATTTTTTTTATTTTTTTTTGGTTTGGTTTCTTTATTTGGTCAGGTGGTGTTTCTGGTTTCTGCAGAGTAATCGTTTGGATTGCCACTATTACAAGTTGAAGATGGAAGTTCGAGACGCTTGTGGAAGATGTGTAGTTTATCGAATATCTCTGTCTGCTGGCCATTGACAGACCACCCCCTGAACTTTTGTTTTAAGTCGCAGGCATATTTCCTGTTTTGTCTCAGCAAGTTTACTTTGAAATAAGAGTACGTTGACATTTTCATCTGTGAAAAAGCTAACTTTCAAGCTACTAACGTAATTTTAGCACCGACATATTAAGACAAGAATGGAAATCTGATGCAATGCGAGTATACAGACCTATATTATGTCTAAATACCTAAAAATATTATGTTTATATACCTAAAAGTCTAAAACGGGACGTGGAGTAACATTCCTTTAGGTCTCTATTTCGTTGACTCTTAGTTGCATAGACATGTGACACATACTCTTGATAAAGTAAACTTTGTCACTGATCTCTTTGAGAAGACCCAGTAAAGAAAACATGTTAGAACAGAGTTACCAAAACAGAACCTTTCATTGATGTATATCGCAAACAGTCTAAGCCCGACATTTTCCCTAACAAGCATTGTTAAAACTCGATTATGTAACTTTTTAAACTTTTTTTTCCAACGGCTTCAATACGGTTGCTTTGTTATATATATATATATATATATATATATATATATATATATATCTATATATATATATATATGTATTTGAATCGGTTGTAAATGCGTTGTGTAGACATGAAGCGGAAAACTATAAAAAGGCATGTCTCTAAAAGTGTGCGGAAAAAAGCAATCTCTTCGACATATTGATATAATGTGGTTTTCAAGACTCGGGGACGCTAGCGTACGTTCATTCGCATCCCCATCCCGAAATAACATTGAAATGAAACCGGTATGATAATAATGTACTGCAGCAAAAGAAAATAGCCCCAGTTACCGGGTCCTGGCCCAATCAGTGTCATAGTATATAAAACGGTCAGTGTCGGACACTAAGCTCATTATGTCATTGGTCAGTGACCTTCGCAGTCTGTCGTAGGTTTCCTACCGTGTGTTTATTTTTCCACTGATAGTTCAGGCAGAGGGAGATCGTATAGCCTAGACATTAGCCAACTTATCTTTTTTTATCGATGGTTACGTTTGTTGAAGCTGTTGCAGTCGCTACTGTCTCTGCTGCTCCTTTATTTACTGCCTGTGGAGAAGTCTGTGTTTTATTGTTGTTGTTGTTATTGTTGTTGTTGTTGTGTTGTTGTGTTGTTGTGTTATTGTTGTTGTTGTTGTTGCTGCCGCAATGTTGTTGTTGTTTGCTGCTGTGTTTGTTATTGGTTCCAGTACTTTTTAAAACTTTTAAAGCTATACCTTTGCACAAAATTATTCGTCAGTTAGGGGGTCCTTTGTCAGTTGGTTTGCGTCACGTTTTCATATTTCTATTTTTATTGCTACCGTCATTTCAATAAACACACAAACGAACGGTTACTATTGAAGGCTGCTGCTGCGTCAAAACAGACAAACTCCAATAATAACTACTTAATAACAGATTATTTTTTTTTACGATTCCATCGACACAGATTAGATTATTCAATAGGTGGACTTCGAACCTCCCTATCAGGGGTATAATATCCTTGAAGAAATACCGAGATACTCGATAAAAAAAATTCTTCCCACTCAGGAATTGACTTCTAGTCTCCTGCATGCGATGTCGAAGCACTTAATCACTTCACCACTGACCCCGGTACATCAGATTTAGATACTGTGGGAATTCAAGTTTATCACAATTGAGGAACTCTTTGAGAGGTTAAAGG